AGCGGGATTCGATTCGGAACGATTCGGGAGCAGAAATGAGGCCGGCGCTCAGCGAGAGCAGCATTTTAAAAAAAAAAAAAAAAAAAAAAAAAACGCAAGCGAAAACCCAACTCCCGGGAATCCTGTGTGTAAAAAAACAATACGCGGCAGGGGGTCTACTACTCCCAGGACGCCATCAGGGGAAGAGGGAGAGTAGTATTCCTATTGAGTAATTGTGGAGGGGAGGAAGAGGCGGAGAGGAGAGGAGCCCGGAAGGAAGGAGGTGAGGAGAAAAGGCGGAGGAGCGCGCAGGAGGAGTGAGGAGAGGGAGGACCAGAGCAGGGACAAGGAAGGAGCAGGCAGCCGGGAGCGGGGAGCAGGGAAGGAGGGGGGAGGAGGAGGTCGAGCGCCAGCGCGGGCCCCCGGGCCGATGCCCTCGCGCCGAGATGGCCGCGGTCTGGTCCCAAGCGCCTGCGTTGCGCTGCAGGGCGGGAGCGGGCTGCGCTGCCCCGCCTGCCTATGCGCCTTCTCCGCCTCATCAGATGCCTGCTCACATGCGCACTCTGCCAGAGAATATGGCCCTGGCTGGGGGTCATAAGGCCTGTAGTTGATCTTCGATTGGGACTCCGCCTTTCCGCTGTGGGTGTACCTCGTCGTCCTCCTCCTCGTCCTCCTCCTCCTCATCATCGTCATCATCATCATGAATCATCATCAGCAGCAGCAGCATCATCATCAGCATCATCATCGTCAACATCATCAACGTCATCATCATCATCATCATCATCATCAGCATCAGCATCATCAGCATCGTCATCATGATCATGATCATCAACAGCAGCATCATAATCATCGTCATCCTCATCCTCATCCTCATCCTCATCCTCATCCTCATCCTCATCATCCTCGTCATCATCATCATCAGCATCATCATCATCACCACCACCACCACCGCCGCCGCCACCACCACCACCACCACCACCACCACCACCACCATCCATCATCATCATTATCATCATCGTCATCGTCGTCAGCAGTATCATCATCACCATCATTCGACTCGGCATCCACATCAACAGCAGCAGCGTCATCATCACCACCACCGTCATCATCATCGTCAGCATCGTCATCATCGCCGTCATCAGAATCACCATTGTCATCCTAATCATGCTCGTCATCATCATCAGCATCATCATCAGCAGCAGCATCATCACCATCATCAGCATCATCGTCATCATCATCATCAACATCATCATCAGCATCATCATCAGCATCGTCATGATCATCATCAGCAGCAACGGCATAATCATCATCATCTTCATGTTCATATTCATCTGAATCGTCAGCATCAGCATCAGCATCAGCAGCAGCAGCTGCAGCATCCTCCTCATCTGCTCATTGCTCGTCCTCCTCATCATTCTCTTCCTCCTCATCCTGCCTCTCCTCCTCCTCCTCCTCCTCCTCCTCCTCCTCCTCCTCCTCCTCCTCCTCCTCCTCCTCCTCCCTCCTCCCTCCTCCTCCTCCTCCTCCCTCATCCTCCTCCTCCTCCTCCTCCTCCTCCTCCTCGTGCTCCTCCTCCTCCTCCTCCCTATCCGTCCCCGGCTCCTCCTCTGTTCATCAGGTCGGTTGCCCTGGATCTCTCCGTACAAGCTCCGCGAGGACAAGCAGGGAGGATGTCCAGCAACGTTCGACTACGACTCACATGCATGCACGTGCATGCACGCACACGCACACGCACACGCACACGCACACGCACACGCACACGCACACGCACACGCACACGCACACGCACACGCACACGCACACACACACACACACAAGCACACGCACACACACACACACACACACACACACGTGGGGCATGTCGGGTACTCGCGTGTGTGTGTGTGTGCTTGGGTGCTGGCGCGTCGACATGTTGGCGTGTGCCTCTGCGTCTGCGCGAGGGGCTCCCGTGCGTGGCCCGTCTGGCGCTAATGCCGCTGGCGCCGGCGCCCCATCACTGCGGACCGTCGACCCTGCCCCACATGCCGCCCGCCCAGCACTGCGGCGGACGCACCACCTTCAGGTTCTCGCCCCCGGTGGCCACGGCTGCCCCGACCGTGGGCCCTCGCGCCGGCCTCTCCCCGCCCCGCTTCGGCCGCCTCGGGCGGCCCCGCGCGTCTGGCCCGCTGGAAGCCTTGGGCCTGCCCTGCGGACCCCTGGCGTTTTGGCTTCCGCTCGCCGACTCAGCCCGGACGCTGCCGCCCAGCCCGCGCCGGTGGAACCTCCACCTCGAACTGAAGGGCTCCAGCTGCATACAGGCACCGATCCTGGACCAGCCCATCCTGTGCCCAGGAGCGACGAGTGCACCCTCCCCGCTCCACGGGAGGCGTTTGCACCGCCTCTGGGCCCAGGATGGGCCTGGCCAGGGGCAGTGGACATGTCGAGACCTCGTCCCCCACGCCTCGAGGCTGCGGTGTGCGATGGAGGCACCCCCGCGCTCGGCGCTCTCGGAGGCCTGCGGACCTGAAGTGGAGCGGCCGTGGTTCCTGTCACGGTCAGGGTGCCTGCCTCTGCTCGAAGGAGCAGTGCTTCCTGCACCACGACCACAATGGCGACAAAGCGAGGAATGATGCCACCAGCGACATCGAAACAAAGGGAGTCAGTGAGCAATCCCTCGCCTCCCGCCAGCCATGCTCACTCGAGCAGAGTAGTGTCTCTGCTCGAGTGAACATGGTTGAATGGAGGCGTTGCGTAGTCGGGCGCTCGCTCCCTCCTGTATGCTGAATCGTCATGCTTTGTTTCATTCGGACCGCCCGCGTCACCGCGGGCTGGGTTCATGCGCATGCACGCACGCGTGCGACCGAATGTGCCGCATAGATGTGTGGCAGCTCATTTGCTGCACTTTGCAGCGAGCCCCAGAGCAGCTTAGGCATTGAAGGATCTGCATCTAGTCCACAGGCTAAGCACATTAAGACGACAAACCAGGGTGCTCCAAAGCCGACACACCAGGGAGTTCCAAAGCTCCACACATGGGCAGACATGCGCCATATATCATACGCCGCGGTTCTGGAAACATCTATTTTAAGCAGTGGCAATAACTTAAAGTCATCTCTGACGTCCATACAAGGTTCCCACAGTGAATGATGAGCAAAGCAGTTGAAGACCATCATACATCGCAGAAGCAGCCTGACCACTTCTCCCGACGGTGAAAAGCTCTCGCTCCGCGCGAAAAGAAGACGGCACGACGCACCATAGGGAAACACCTCGATGGGAGCGTAAGGCCCCAACTCCCAGCACCCGACGCCTTGGACTACGTCACAAACAAAACTACCCAGATGTTCAACACCACCTGTAGACTGCCTGATATGGCCGGATCTGGCCGGATCGCTCCGCGAGGGTCGCCAGCCCAGAAACAGCTTCGGTCGGGAACTTCTGCTCAGCGCGTCGTGGTGGCGGCCCCAGCGGCACGCTATGGCCTACGAAATGATAGTGTGTCGCTTCGCCTCGCGTGGTGGGAGGCCATTATCCTTCTCCTCCTCCTCCTTCTCCTCCTCCTCTTCTTATGATTATTAAAAATAATAATGTTATTAATACTCTTATTAGAGCGAGTATCATTTGCATGTTTATCCTTAGGAATATTAGTCTTAGAATTAGTATTACTACCATTATTATTCGTTATAGCATTCCAAATGTTAGTCTGTTGCTTCTTATTAGGAGTTGTATTACTAGTAGTGGTAATACTAGTAGTAGTAGTAGTAGTAGTAGTAGTAGTAGTAGTAGTAGTAGTAGTAGTAGTAGTAGTAGTAGTAGTAGAAGTAGTAGTAGTAGTGGTAATGATAACAGTAACAGTAACAGCAATAGTAGTAATAGGAATAGTGGTAGTAGTAGTAGTTGTTGTTGTTGTCGTAGTAGTAGTAGCAGTACTAGTAGTAGTAGTAGTAGTAGTAGTAGTAGTAGTAGTAGTAGTAGTAGTAGTAGTAGTAGTAGTAGTAGTAGTAGTAGTAGTAGTAGTAGTAGTAGTAGTAGTAGTAGTAGTAGTAGTAGTAGTAGTAGTAGTAGTAGTTAGTAGTCGTAGTCGTCGTAGTCGTAGTCGTAGTCGTAGTCGTAGTAGTAGTAGTAGTAGTAGTAGTAGTAGTAGTAGTAGTAGTAGTAGTAGTAGTAGTAGTAGTAGTAGTAGTAGTAGTAGTAGTAGTAGTAGTAGTAGTAGTAGTAGTAGTAGTAGTAGTAGTAGTAGTAGTAGTAGTAGATTGTAGTAGCAGTAGTAGTAGTAGTAGTAGTAGTAGTAGTAGTATTCGTGGTGTAAGTATTTCTCCTCCTCATCCTCATCCTCATCCTCATCCTCCTCCTCATTTTCCCCCCTCCTCCTCCTCCTCCTCCTCCTCCTCCTCCTCCTCTCCTCCTCCTCCTCCTCCTCCTCATCATCCTCCTCATCCTCTTCCTCCTCCTGCTCCGCCTCCTCATCCTCCTCTTCCTCCTCCTCTTCCTCCTCCTCCTCCTCCTCCTCCTCCTCCTCCTCCTCTCCTGCGGTCAGGACCTCTTGCTTAGCGTGTCGCGGCGGCCTTCCCGGCGACACGCTATGCCCTGCGAGCAGATAGTGTGTCGTTCCGATCCGCGTCGCGGGAGGCCAGGAAAGGCTCGGGACTTGACGCTTGGGAAATGGGACGTGGCCAGCGTGTCGCGCGGAAGCATGTTGGGCCAGAACCGGCGGCGCGACACGACACGCTAACCTAAATTCTGCGGCCGCAGGATGCGTGCGTCGTTGCCCCCCGTCGTTGCCCCCCGTTTTCGGGGGATGCCTCGGCTCTCTGGCGGCCGTTCTGAAAAATGCGGGCATCCCCAGACTGCTCTCGGCGAAGCGCCACTGCTGGAAAGCACCCCGAGGCTGGAAAACCGCGAAGAACTGACGAAAACGTCCGAAAACCTCGACACTCGAACCTCGTACGCTAGAATGCGCGCTTCATCCGTGTTTCGTCGGCGCCCATGTGCGGGAGGAGGAGGCGGAGCAGGGTCCGCGCGCCTTGCCCGGGGGAGGGGGGGCGCACCGTTCGGGGAGCAGCTGTTGGCGGCGTCGGCAAGCTGGACAAGGCAGCGCTGCCTCCCCACGCTTCACAGCAGGCAAAGAAAGCACCAGAAACTCCTCCACGTCCTCCCCCACGACCTTCTCCTTCCCTCGACTTGACGTCTTCTCCTGCTTCTCCCATGTCCTCCTTTCTCCTCCCTTCTCCGCCCCATACTCCGCCTCCCCCTCCTCCTCACCCCTCCTCCTCCTCCACTCCTCGCCTCCTCCTCCTCCTCCTCCTCCTCCTCCTCCTCCTCCTCCTCCTCCTCTTCTTTCCTCCTCCCCCTCCTCCTCCTCCTCCACCCTGGGGAGGAGGAGGAGGAGGAGCAGGAGGAGGAGGACACGACTACGACGACGACGACGACGACGACGACGACGACGACGACGACGACGACGACGAGGACCACCACGAATAGTCATTCTGGCCCCTGCGGGGCGGCGTTCCCCACCACCCACGGAAGGGGGGGGCCCGCCGGAGCGCGCCACCGCCATTGGCGGAGCGCACAACGTGCACACAAACAACCACCAAGAGGTGGATGATCATCTGGGAGAGGGAAATAATCCACCAGCTGACGAACTACAAGTCATACATCCACAGCATCGGCTACGAGACTCACCCACCTCAAAAAGACTGCCGGCAAGTATGCCGAGACCATACACGCAGAGAGGAGTACAAACAATTGCTGCTCTCAAGAGGACGGCCTACCTCATCCGACACGGGCTACAACCACACCTCAACGGCATCATGACAAAGACCACGACCACCATCATGGTGGCGTCCACTACAGGTCGGGACAAGCTGCGTAACAAGGAAGGGCTGCGTAACATGCAGCCCGAGGAAGAGCTGCGTAACAGGCAGCCCAAAAACGACACCAAGTACGCCACCAAGATCGACACCAGGAACGACACGACTGGGTAGACCGAAGGGGTTACTAAGTACGTCGTCGTGGAGGTACCGGTGGACAATGGCCGCGCCGCCTACGACGAGCACGACTATGGCCGCGCCGCATACTACACGCCGCATTCTACCAGCACGTCTGCGGCAACTTTTTCGATAGCGACCTGTACTCCTACGACCCCCACGACCGCCAGGACGTGGAACACTACGATCTGGCAGCCGACGACTCCGATTCGGACCTCGGGGACTACGAAGGGAGCGTGCCGTCTGAACTGCTATAGCCACCAGCAGAGCTACCAGGGTCACCAGACGACCATCGGGGACCACAAGCTGAACTACGAGGACCTCCAGCTGAGCCACGAGAGGCACCAGGAGAGGTGTCAGGGCCACCTGCTGAGCTACAAGAACCACCAGCAGAGCTACAAAGGCAACCAGCTGAGCTACGAGGGCAACAGGCTGAGCTACTAGGACCAACAGCAGGGGTACGAGGACCACAACCTGAGCTACGGGAGCCACTGGCAGAGCTACCCAGGCCACCTGCTGAGCTACCAGAGTTTCCAACAGTTCTACGAGGGCCACCAACTCAATTGCGAGGGGCTCCAGCTGAGCCACGAGAGGCGCTAGGAAGGGTACCAGGATGTACCAGGGCCACCTGCTAAGCAACACGGCAACCATCCCAGCTGCGAGGGCCAAAGGCTGAACTACGAGGACCACAAGTAGGGCTACGAGGACAACAACATGAGCTACGGAAGCCACCGGCAGAGCTTCCTGAGCCACCTGCTGAGCTACCAGAGCTTCCAACAGACCTACGAGGGCCACCAGCTGAACGACGAGGATCACAAGCCCAGCTGCGAGGGCCACAAGCACGACTACGAGGACCTCCAGCTGAGCCACGAGAAGTATCAGGAGAGAGGTGCCAGTGCCACCTGCTGAGCTACAAGAGCCACCAGCAGAGCTACAAGAGCAAGTCGCTCAACTACAAGGGCCACAGGCTCAACTACGAGGGCCACAGCCCGAGCTACGAGGACCACCACCTGAGCTACGGGAGCCACTTGCAGAGTTTACCCAAGCCACCTGCTGAGCGACCAGAGCTTCCAACAGTTCTACGCGGGCCACCAACTCAGCTACGAGTGCCTCCAGCTGTGTCACGAGAGGTGCCTGGAGAGGTACCAGGACCACCAGCTGAGCTACCAGAATCATCAGCAAAGCTACGAGGGCCACCTGCTCAGCTACGAGGACTTCAGGCTGTACTACGAGGACCACAAGCAGGGAACCAAGGACCAGCTGCTGAGCTACAAGAGCCACCCGCAGAGCTACGAGGGCAACCTGCTGAACTACGAAGACTTCAGGCTGTCCTACGAAGGCCACAAGCAGGGAACCAAGGACCAGCTGCTGAGCTACAAGAGCCACCCGCAGAGCTACGAGGGCAACCTGCTGAACTCCGAAGACTTCAGGCTGTCCTACGAGGACCACAAGCAGGGAACCAAGGACCACCTTCTGAGCTAGAGGAGCCATCCGTAGAGCTACAAGGGCAACCGGCTGAGCTACGAGGACCACAGGCTGTACTGCGAGGACCATGCGCAGGGCTACGAGGACCAGCACATGCCCTACGGGAACCACTAACGGAGCTACCTGGGCTTCCTGCTGAGCTACCAGAGCTTCCAACAGACCTACAAGGGCCACCAGCCACAATCTACGAGGACCACGAGCACAGCTTCGAGGTCTACGACGACCACCAGCAGACGGAAGGTTTCAGCCGAGCTATGAGAATAACCGGCTGAGCTACGTGGGCAATCAGCTGGGCCACCTAAACTGCGAGGGCCACGAGCTGA